CCTTTTTTAATAGTCCCCAAAAAAAAAAAAAAAAAAAAAAAAACCAACAACAAAACCCGTGGTGCTTTTTTTTCACAATTTGATTTGGTTTTTTTTTTTTTTTTTTTGAAATGTAAATCTCTCGGGCAGCGAGAGGCGGGGTGCGACCGCGGAGGTTGCAGCCGGGTGCCGGGATCCTCAGTCGTTATTTTGCACTTTCAGGTGCCTTTTGGGGAGCGAGCGAGAGAGAGGGCGAGAGCTGAACCCGTAACCCTGCGTAACCTCGTGTTTTACTGTAAACCCCCCTTGTCCCTTGCGCACTGGCACAGAATAAGCAGGATCTCTGCAAACCATCCTGAACATTTACGTGGTCTGATTTTAAACCTGTAAATAGCGAAAGATTTTTTTTTTTTTAAAAGCACTTTCACCTAGATTTAAAAAGGAAAAAGGAAACAAAATGAGAAAAAGACAAAAAAAAAAAATCAACCCCAACAACTTGAAAGCAGTATGTTTTAAACAGATTATCGTGGGAGAACTGTAAATAACGGCAGAATATTTAACACGCTTTGTCCGTCCTTCATAATTTTCTTTTTTTGTTGCTGTTTGTTTTTTAACCGTATTCTGTAAAGTCGCATATATTTGACGAGGAAACTATCGCTTTTCTTATAAGTACCCAATAGCATATCAGGATTGTAGATTTTATCCCAAGTCAGATCTCTAGGAAAGCCTCGGGGCTCCGCGGCGGAGCGGATCGACGTGCTGTGGCACGCGTGAGCCGATTTTTGGGGAGGAAAAAAGTCGGATCCAGATGTTTTGCGCCGGGTCGGCTTCGCCGCTGGCGTCGCTTCCCTTCGCCGGAGTCTCGCCCGCCGGGTAGGTTGTCGCAGGGGTGCCTTGAAAGCTTGGTGGAGACGCCTTTAGAGAGCGAGAAATTGTGATATTTGGGAGAAAAAGGGGGTGCGTTCGGAGAAGGTGACAGTCCGTGTAACCTGTCTAAGTCCTGCTTCCGCATAGGTTTCCGTTTCGGGGTTTTTCCCAGCCGGCTCCGACGCCGGCTTTCCCGGGTTGGAGGGGGGACGAAAAGCGAAGCCGTGGGAACCGGGAACC